CTGATATACTGTTAGAGATTATATATGACAAAGTCGGCTGGCTCTGCGGAGGTATCTAGTCATTATGTCATGCTCATACTAAAGCTCATGACAATATCGTAGGTAGTCATGCTCAGTGCGTTATCAGACAGTCGAAGTGCTGCGTATATTATACAACTAGATTCGCTTTATATTAGCTGGCCATCGCACGTAGCGTCCTGTCTGTTTATATATTGACCATGCTTCCAGAAAAACACCGAGCATTACGCGTTCATCAAGCTCACGTTGGTACGTTGCTATTAGCTCTCGTGTCAACTCTCTTTCAATGACATTTTGCATTCTGTTCTTTTAATCTGGCATGAATTAATCGGGTGTACGACGCCCTAGCCGGTGGCCATACGGGCTTACTTCACCGTGGAAAGCGAGAGCCCGGGGTTTCCTCGCAAGCAGTCTCTCAGATACACGGGCAGCACGTAGTACGATATACTATACATATATCTTATGACATACTATAGCGTAGGTGACTTTCTATCGGTTCGGACAAAACACATGCTTGATACTGCCACCTCCCCTCAGCTCCGCAGCAGGGAGGGCGTGACCCTCCCCCAACCACGCGCTCAGGAGCGAACCCCCTTCCCCCTCACACAAGACAACCCCACGCTCTTCATGACTTCTTAGTTACACAACCCCCGGCGCCCGCACCCCTTCTCCGCACCCTCGACATTACCCCGTGCTTTAGGCGACCCGACAGCCGTCCTCGCCGGTCAGTTGGTCTCTACGTGACATTGTCGTGAGCGCTGACGTTCCCAGGAACGACGTACGCTAACACTGCACCAAGATAGTAGCCTTTCTTCCTTAAGGAACGCAATCTAATATCGTAACTTAGTAAATGCGCACAGGTGGTATTAATAACACTGCGCAGAACGGCTGGGCTTAACAGAGCTGTATTCTACAAGTGGAAAGTGATGAACGCTTTGGCGATATTAACAGCTTTTTAAGTCGGCAGTAGCGTGAAAGATCGAGGTATCGGCCGGCGTGATCAACGCGATAGTGAGGCGACGTGGTGAAGAATTAAGCTACGCTATATCCCCAGTCATTTATTAGTCAGTCTTAGATCAGCTTATCAATAGTGGGCTTAAAAAACGTCGACGAGGTTTCAACCGGCGACCCTAATTACTTACTTCAGTTGTTTAAAATAGTGATTTTTGTAGTTGTCGTCAAGGGTTGGTTGTCATTCTAGATATAAGTTGGGTGGATTGGCGATATAAGGGTCGCAGCTCGTGGTTTTCGCGCAGAACTAGCTCAGGTTTCAATAAGCTGGGATGTCAGAGATCTGTTTCTTGGTCGCGTAGAAACATTATGTACACGAGTGTTTTTTCTTGCGTTGTGTGTTTGTATAACAAAGCTGGTTTATGTTCTTCTGTGGGTTAGAGAAATAACGATAGGTCAACATTCGGCTGGCCACAGCGGTGTGGATGCATCTTAAGCACCAGGCCGTGAGGGGGAGGACGAGTTTTTTACTGGCAATGGTGTTCGTGTGGTGTGCAGCGCTGCTGTTGTAATAATTAGGGGAATGGCGAGCCAGGCGCTGTGGTCGCTGGTGGTCAGGATGATCAGGACCAGGTTACACAGGCTGTCTGGAGATGCGGGGGACGGCTTACCCGGGTGGGTCAAGAAATTGGACCGGTTTTATCATTAACAGCAGGGGGGGGTGGGATATGAAAACGCCACACCACTGATGTTTACAAGCGATGCAGTCGGGCTGTCAGGAAGGCGACCGAGTTCGGTACGTTCAGTGACGTTCATTGGGGTAAGTTCTAGGGCCATGAGATTCGTATTCTCGGACCCTCTTGTTGGGCGCCGTGCGATAAGCCGTAAATTATTTTTCGTGATGTGCGAGTAGTTGTCTTGAGCGTCACAGTCGCCGTAAAAATAGCGCGGTAATGGTTTATATGATAGAGTGATTCGATTTTAGCAGAAGTAACGAGTTAGGAATAATAGGGAACATAAATAAAAATACGGCGGGCGCTTCGATTGTAAAGCTACTTTGTATTCTGCTTTCCTCTTACTAGATTCGTGTTAGGAGAGCATATATAGGACCTTGGACTTCTGACCGTTGACGAAGGCCGTTTTCGAAGCAAAAAGCACGTGATCGTGCCCAGCTCAGCGTTTTGAGCGACAAACAGGGAGAAATCTGCACGCGGTGGGAGGGCGGATTCTTACCGTAGTGGCAGTCCCTCCCGCTGAAGCACGAGGTGGAATACCGTGACAATCAGTTCTGGGGAAAATCCATATAAGTGCGGATCTGTGTGATGCGTGGCCCTTCAGCCTTAGTCTAAGCTGAGTGGTGAAGATACACATACGATAGTTCACCACTCCGGGATGTGCGCACAACCGCCTTATAAGTGTGATCTATGTTGATGACTGCCTTGCTCCCACGTTCCTGAGAGAGTTTCACCGGTAGCCCTTGTAAAGGCACACATGGAGAACTCGACACGGAGATAAAACCGTTCAGCGTATGGAAGTTGCGTATCTGTGTGATGGCTCTGTATTCTCCTGTGCTGAGTAATGTGGAGAGGAAAGCAGTAGTGCAGAAAACACACACAGAGAGAAAACTTCCGTATAAGTTGCGATCTGCTGTGGAGTCCCAGCTAGACACAAAAGAACGTTCACATCAACCGTTATTTTAAGCGTTATGTTTTGCGGTTGTGGATAGGCGTTATACACCAACCGTATATAAATTAGGAAATTAGTGTGTTCGGGTTTTTATAACGTTTTGATAACGGTTAAAATAACGTCTTTCCTAACGTTACTAAAAAAACTGAAGAATAACGTTAATTGTTTCGTGAGTTTGGTTCTGACTAAACGTTATATAAAACAAGCCCGACACAATTACGTTAATATAACGTTTGTATTTAGCGTTACTGAGTGTACGTTTGCTTTCTTCTTTACTGTGAAGGATATTAAGTCGGTTAATCGTTATTGAACGTGGTTCGTGATAACCGTTAAAACAGACTCGCGACACAAGTGTACGGTTTAATACTCACGTTTGGTATTTACGTTGAAGTGAAGTTACGTTGAGCTTTAGTAGTATATAAGTATAGTATATATATATATAGTATTGTATGATATTATATAGTATATTATATTATGATATATCTAATGGAAAACAAACATTACTAACAAAATCAGTGTTTACGCGAGCTGAGCATATCTACACCGTATTAGGAATTGGTTTACGACCATATAGAAACTGCTGCACAAGTACGCTATGTGCAATCAAGCCACGTTGGACGACGACCCCCCTATTTTCTAAAAAGTAAAATACGGCTGTGTAAATCTCAGTTGTATAAATTATAATCTTTCACAATGCTATAAACCTGCCATGATTTACAACTATATCTATATAGTATAATTTTCAAATATCAACATCAATAACATCAAAGTTGGAAAATTTATAATGAAATATTCGGCGTATCCTAAGCTGCAGATTCATTTGCACACGATAAGCTACAGATACAGTGGTTAATTTCTGAATTACAAACATTCAGATATAAACATAGATTATTCATCGTGACTACTATACACGATATACATATGATGAGATCACAAAAGAGCTTGCCTATATAAGTGATTAGTTCGAGGACACGATGAGATAAAAGCCACAATTACAAAGTCAAGAGGCTGAATAAATAGCCGGGCTAGTACTGATAACTTAGGTACAGCTGTAGCTGATCAATAAAGGTATTGATTAGCTCTTGGTTACCTGATTATCATAGTGTTGAATATTCCTGAATAGTAGGCGCCAGTGCGTAACGGTGAGAAACACTTATAGTATATAGTAGCATACGACATGAATAGATGCTGATAGATTAAGGCCGAAATAGACTAGATGACATAACACAACACATTCTATTGTATCAATTTCTCGCGAGGAGTGGCCTTGCCTGGGTGTACTGATATCACGGGCATAAAACTTTCTTAGCATTTTATTCTCTCCATGTCACGCTATTATGCTAATGCGCTGCTACTCTTTCTCATATGTGTGCTATCTCTCTGTGTGCATGTCACTGAGTAAGGGTTCCAATACCATGCCACTACATCATCATATATCAGTATTCTTTTTCTACATTCAGATGCTGCCGACACACGATTAGAGTGCTATGCTCGACCCTCTCGTCCCACCTACCTTCCACATCTCCTCAATACACATGGGTGGTTTCGGTGATGGAGAAGTGGCGCTTCGGGATATCCAATGTTGATGCAAACTCTTAATCTGTTCTCACAGAAACAAAACGATGCCAAAATGTAACGTTTTACGCATGTATTATCATTGACATAATATCTCTCATCTCTACTCCTGCTCTCCTACCTCGTCTCTCTCCTGCGTCTCTCGTCGTTGCTCTACTTGACTCTTATGCTCCTCAATCTTCTTCTCCTCTCTGCGTCTTCGTCGGTTCTCTCTACTCTGCTCCCTGCTTGTTCTCTGCATGACTCTCGTCACAATCTACTCGTTAGCATAACCATATACTCCACTCGTCGTACTTCTCTTCGCTTCTATAAGCAGCTGTAAATTGGACTATGGTCCTATATATATATGTAATATCATCTGTTATATCATATACTAAAGAAATTTTCTTCTATTGGGGCTAAATAAATAAATCTTTGCGACTTAGATGAAAATAATAAGAACTAGAATAGGTGGATCAGTTTATTTACAGCTATAGGCCGACGCCTAATTATTTGTTTTTATTCTCTCAAATTCCTCATATCAAATAGCCTTACTACTAAAGAAGCTTATATAAACACACGGAGACTAAATTACATTACCTCACTCCACGCTTTCTATGTTCAGCAGTCAGCTTCTCAGCTGGCAGGCTATATGACTAGCTTCAGACAGTTTTCTTCAAGATTATGCGAAGCACACTGCAGTTTACTCGTTCCAAAAAGAGAACATGGCCGAAGCTCAAGTACTGAGTTTGAATACTTACTCATGTGAAGCTGCTTAGGTAGTGCTCGTCATTTCTCATCAATAACCAAACTGCCGCATAAAATAGACACTCGCGAACGCCGACAGCTACACACACTTCATCACGACACATACACACTACGCACACGCGCAGCTATATTCGCGCCATTGCGCGTACTTGCAGTACTTTTAGCTGGTAGGCTCGTTAGAACTATAGCCCTTCGCAGTTCGCACCTTAACATTATTTTACGACTGGTGGCGGCCAGCAAATGGGCCCGTATATAGTCTTCTAGAGCTATATAGTGCCTATCAAAACCAACTGAATGCCCAGGCCTGTTCGGAGGAAATTTACTTCTAGCTTTAGTGAAGTTCATGACTAACTAGGTTTAAACTAATATGGAATAAACACGAGTACTCGCAGCCCGTAGCCGAAGAAACTCGAGTGTTATATAGCATATCACTATCTATAGTAGCGAAAGTATAGTTAACAACACTATATATTTATACTTGGTCATGCAGTTATATAGCTTAGAGCATATGACGCTAGACAACGCTTGGCCTTTTAATAGGACACGTCAAGCTTCGAACAGGCTCTCTACTAGAGACTGTTTATTATTCCCACTAACCGATAAAAATTACGCTGAGGACAGAGCAGTTCTCGGTATTAGTATTTTGACTTGAGAAAGAGCTCTATGCGGGTAAGACTGTGTGTGCTTTTCTTCTGTACTCTGTTTTTATCTCTAGCTCATTTACTGGGTGTAGCGTAGTATTCACATTTTCAAGCATCGACGCAGACTATTTCGCTGGCTTAAGGACGATGATTACCCGAAGTTTTCAGACTGATAGTAATCTTTGCGAGTAACAATTCGCTCTCGTTACCGGCGACCGACGCATCATGAATTGGTTTATCACGCGAACGATAACGTGGACCAGGCAGGTGGTGCTAATCAGAAGGTTGTGTATGTGTGTATGCTGTGGTTCGAATATACAGATTGTTGCGTTCACGATCACTAGGCAGACCAAGTGGTTTAGCGCGGGTGGCCACAGGAGCAAAAACACGCAAGCAACAACTGCACAAATATGATTTTTAACAAAACATACAAAATTCGTAACAAAGCGATCATATCAAAAATTCGAGCACAAAGCAAATAACCTTGTCAAGAACAAAACCATTTATCGGAGCGCAAACTGCAGCTTCATAGTAGCCTTGTATTGAAAATGAGCCTCACTACTACCAATACGACACTCGATTCACGAAACAAAGATATGAATACCAGGTCATTATCAATACACGTCGTAGGCGTGCAAATTTAGCGCAAAGATTAGTTCTAATTCGATAAAAATGGAACTAATTAGTTAAGATTATTTCATGTGATAATTAATTAAGGCTAACATAATTTAAATTTATTAATAGCACATTTAATGTACGCTTAATTTGTTTTTTGGCCTCGACAACGGACGGCCCTACAACAACTACCGAGCTCTCTTGATTTGGATTAGCAATATATTTGATGATCATACCTTTTCCACTTTCCCTATAACTGGCTTCTTCTCCCTACTTTCACTTTAAGGCACTCGCATTTTATATTTGAAAGTACATTCCGCATTGCAAGTGACGTTTTTCAATTTGACATGTAAGGCTAACTGTCACGTAAATGTTACTGTTGACGTCCCCTCCCCCCCACCGCCCGGCACGTACAGTAGCCTTAACGTTACCTATTAAATACTATACTGGACGGTTCGGCCGCTGCTCTTCTGCTCGAATTGTATGAAACTATTAATAGTACGTATGATGTTATCTCTGCTCCTGGTGCCCAAGTGGGTAGATACTAGTACAGCACTTAGCTCTGGCCATCGTCAGTACTGGAGGCCGTTACTTTTTAGCCCGCGGTTCATTATACTGCCGCAGTCGGGATGTGCGTGAAGACCTCCTGTGCCTCCGTAGCATCCGTCTGATCTGGACAGGTGGCTGCCTGCGGGGCCCAGTTAATGAACGCGCGGCTATTTCTTACTATAGGATCAGCGCGCCAACAGAGCGAGTACACTTACATGTTCAGAGACAGTATGAGCGAGTCACGCAGATTCGTCATGCTAACTATTTCCTTTAGCTCCATGTTCCGCCAGCTTATCTCTTACCCTGGTACTCAAGAAACTTCAGCGACCTCGCGGTGCATGGTGGCAGACGATACTATTCCCATTAAAACTATTAATGATATGCCCACACAGCCTAGCGTGTATATATATAGTAATTATTGCCAGTTATGTTTTGTTAGTGACGCTAGCTCTAGAACCTAGGTCTATTGTAATTTAACGTGCCTTGGTTTTAATTTGACGTTGGATGCTTTAGAGTTAGAGGGATAAGGTTCCCAGCCGACCGTCTCGGCGACAACGACATGCTTAGTTCCATGCGTCGATTTCGAACACGACCCGCGCGAGAATCTTCCCCTGAGCCAGAAGCGTAGTCTGCTGCTGCCCATCGGCTGGCTGCCGCCCGCCTTGGCAACGACAAACAAACAAAAACATGTGAACATCTGTAGTCTCTCGTTTGCACGGTGCTCGAATACCCTATACAGACATCTAACAGATCTGGTCTCCACTTCTCTTATCTTCTCACTCTCTTCTCTCTCTTCTCCTCTTCATTCCTCCTCCCCTCCATCCCTTTCTCTGTTTCTCCCTTCCCTCCTCCTTCTCGCCTAACCTCCCTCCCTATCCCCTCCTGTCGCCTCCCCGCTCACCTAGTTGGTTGATTCTGTAGCTCTTCCTGGTTTCTTGCCAGCTGTAGGGTCCGTTACCCCCTTCCCTCCTCCCGCCCCCTCGCTCCCTCCCTCCCTCCCTCCCTCCTCCCCCCACCTCCCTTCCCTTCCTCCCTCCTCCGCGCTCACCTGTTATTGATCTGTAGCTCTCTGGTTTCTTGAACTGCAGGCGTCCAGGTACCGACGGTGTGGCGGAGGAGCGCGCAGGACGCGCGGACAGGAGGGGCCTGGTCGTCGTCTCCGCCTTTGATCTGTTCCTCGTGCTCGCTGGAAGCTTCTCAGAATACTCTCCACGATTTCTTCTAAAGAGGAGATGTGAGCGAGGGGAGGCCGAGTGGCGGCGCCTCTGGTGGTGTCAAAAGGAAGTGAGGGGCGGGGGGGTTGTTGATTGGTGGGGGGGGTCGGTGCCTGGTGGCAATCGGTAAACGAGATGGATTTGTTACGGTCTTCCTTATTCTTCCCTTCCTTCTCTCCCTTCTTGCTGCCTCCCTCCCTTCCTTATCGCTGCCCTTCCATTCCTTCTCTTCCCCTCCTCCCCCTCTCCTCGTGGGTGCGGGGAGTGTGTCGGTGCCTGGCGGTGGCCAGTAAACATGTTGGATTTTGGAGAATAATGTTGAAAAACAAGTTGAAAAACAATATCCAAACATGCACTCCCTCCCTCCTCCCCCTCTCCCTCTACGTACCTGAGCTATCTGAACCTCCCTCAGGGCTGCCGCTAGAGAACATGGTTGCCCTCCTCCCTCCCTCCTCCCTCCCACCTTCCTCCCTCCTTCCTTCCTCCCTCCTCCTCCCTCCCGCTCCCTCTCCCTCTACGTACCTGAGCTATCAGACCCTCCCTCGGGGCTGCCGCTAGAGTACATGGTCGCCAGCTTGCCATCGAGTATGAATCTGAACCATCCGTTGCTGCCGTTGCTGAGTTCCAGCGCGACGGCGTCGCTCCAGATGTAGAGGCAGTCACGTCCCCGCGCCACGCACCAGTCGCGCCAGTGGTAAGGCTTCCCCGGGAGGAGGTCCCGCGCATCCTCCTGCCGCGCCTCTCCCTCCTGCTGCAGCCGAGAAAGAGGAAGGGTTAGCCACACAGAGGAAGGGTTGAGGAGGAGGAAGAAAGGATTGAGAAGGAGGAAGGAAGGGTTGAAGAGGATAAAGGAAGGGTTGAGGATGAGAAAGGAAGGGTTGAGGAGGAGAAATGAAGGGTTGAAGAGGAGGAAGAAAGGGTTGAGGAAGAGGAAGAAAGAGCTGAGAAGGAAGGAAGGGTTGAGGAAGAGAAAGGAAGGGTTGATAAGGATGAAGGAAGGGTTGGGGAGGAGGAAGGAAAGATTGGCCACACAGAGGAAGGATTGAGGAGGAGGAGGAAGGGTTGAGGAGGAGGAAGGGTTGAGGAGGAGTAAGAATGGATTAACCAGTGAGGGGGGTGGATATATGGAGGGAAATATATATATACATATATATATTTATATTTATTTATGGAGGGAAGATATGTAGAGGAAACAGGGAGGGAATATATGATCAAAATATTAGGCTGAGACAGAGAGAAGCTATGATGGAGTGAAAACGTGAAGGGAAATCACGTTAGAAGGAAGCTATGCATGGAAGCCATGACAAAAATATATTTCTAGTATTCAAAAACATAATAATATAGTTCTAATCTGAAAATCTCACTCATATTCAATAAGCCCACTTTCCTCCCACCCTCCTCAAATATTTTTCCTTCCATTGTTTACCCCTGTACCACCCTTGCCCTCTTACCTGCCACCCACCCTATACATCCCTCTTATCTTCAGTTAAAGTGATTACGTCACCGTAAATGGTAAAAAA